CGCAGTGGTTGTGAGCGGGGGAGGATGCGGACTCAGTGGTGGGGGCAGTGCGGGTGTGGGGGGCACTGACGGGTGCTTGGGGGGCAATTTCGGGGGGCAGTGGGAATGTGAGGGGAGTAACGGGTCGGAGGGGAGGCTACAGTGGCCAGCAGTGGCGGATATGGGCCGGGATAGTGGGGGTTCAATGGGCTTTTGGGTTCCGTAATTGGGGGCACCGGGAGACAATTAAGGGGTAGAACGGGGGGGTTGTGAAAGAGGTGAAATGGGACCCGTAATAGCGGGGGGCAACCCCTACCAAATAAAAATTATTTTAAAAATAATAAAAAACAATAACAACAACAAAAAAAACCCACACGAAACCATGCCTTCCTCCACTAAGAAAATCTTCATTACGGCCAGAGAAGCCGCTCTGGAGGGTTGGGGGAGAAAGGGGAAATTGGGGGGGCGGGGTCTCCTGACATCCCCCCACGTGACCGCACACGTGCCTGCCCACGTGACTCGGCGCGGACATGGCGGCGGCGGCGGCGCTCCGGAGCCGCCGGTTCAAGTGGTCGCTGGACCTGGGGGCGGCCCCGGGGGGACGGTGAGGCGCGGGGGGCTCGGGGTCACGGCGGGGCCGGGACAGCGAGAGCTCCTCGCTCACCCGCCCCGCTGTCCCCAGGCCCCGCGGAGCCGCTGAGGGCCGCGGCCCGCTCGGGTTCGCTGACCGGCAGCTGGGGGAGGGCGGCGTCCACGAGAGCGACAAGATCCTCATGGAGAAGGTGTGAGGGAACGGGGGGACGGCCGGCACTCCGCGGGGCTGGGCGGGGGGTCCTGTGTCCCCACACGGCCCCCGGGCAGCTCTGCAGGAATAGTCACTGCCCACGGAGATGGTCCATGGCCCGGGTTCCCCCAGATCCCGGGTCCCCAGGGGTGGTCCCTGGCCCGGGTCCCCCCAGATCCCGGGTCCCCAGGTGTGGTCCCTGGCAGGTGCCCAACACCCTGGACAGCTGCAGGGGGCCGGGCCCTACCTCAGACCCCCCGTGGGCCCCCCACACCCGGCTCCCCGCGGGGGTCGTCCTTGCCCCGGGTCCCGGCCCTGCTCCGGGCATGCATGAGGGGTGGTCCCCGCCCTGGGTTCTCTCCAGTGCCGGTTCCCCGTACCCCATACCTTTTTCCCTGTCGTTGCAGCGCTGCTGGGACGTGGCTCTGGCGCCGCTGAAGCAGATCCCCATGAACCTGTTCATCATGTACATGGCCGGCAATACCATCTCCATCTTCCCGGCCATGATGGTCTGCATGATGGGCTGGCGCCCGCTGCAGGCCCTCATGTCCCTGTCTGCCAGTGAGTGCAGCCCCTGCATGGGGCAGTCCCCTGGGTGTCCCTTAGTCCCCTGAGTGTCCCACAGCCCCAAGGTCCCCCATGAATTTCCCACAGCTCCCTGGGACTCCCCACAGTCCCTCAGGTGTGCCCACAGCCCCCCCGGGTGTCCCCACAGCCCCCCAGGTGTCCATGGACGTCCAGATGTCTCCCACAGCCCCACAGTCATCTCCACATCATTCCCCTCTGCCCAGCCCTCCCTGTGATGCTCCCCACCTCTCATGACCCCTGTGCCAGGTCAGCAGCCTGAGGGTCACTGACCGGACCCTGATCCCTTCTGTCCCCCTCAGCACTGAAGGCCCTGGAGAGCTCAAGCCGGCGGGCACTGCAGGGTCTTGTGTTCCTGGTGGGCAACGGGCTGGGGCTGGCACTGGCCCTCTACAAGTGCCAGGCCATGGGGCTGCTGCCCACCCGCCCTTCCGACTGGCTGGCCTTTGTCACCCCCCCTCAGGTGAGCCCGGGGTCCTGGGGACACCCCACAGGTGTCAGGGGTCCTGGGGTGTCAGACACCCGGGTCCCCCCACTCACCCCTTCTCTCTCCCCTCTCTTGGCAGCGAATGGAATTCACTGGGGGGGGCCTGATCTTGTGACCCCCTGCGCCCACCCACCAATAAAGGCAATGGCAGGATGGTGACATCCTTTCTGGGGAGAATTCTGAGCGTCTGGGGACTCAGCCCAAGGCAGCATGGGGTTGGGGCGAACCAATAAATGTTTATTGGGCTGTACTGGGACCACTGGGAGTGCACTGGGATAGCACTGAGATCTGTGCTGGGAGTGCTGGGAGTGCCCTGGGAGCCCTGGGACCTACAGTGGGAGCAGTGGGAGCTTTGGGGCCTGTACTGGGGCATGCACTGGAGCTACACTCAGAGCCACATTGGGGGGCATACTGGGAACACTGGGAATAAACTTGTGGAGAGCTGTAGCCTGAGGCTGGCTCTGTACTGGAAGCCCTGGGTTCATACTGGGAGCACTGGGGATCATGTCAAGATCCTGATTTGACTGTAGGTCGTGCTGGTGTCATACTGAGAGCACTGGTGCTATATTGGGATCCTGTTTGAAGAGCTGTGGCTCACTAGCATTGTGCTGGGAGTGCTGGTGGTGTGCTGGGAGCAGTGGGCACAAACTGGGACTGTGGCAGCCCATTCTGGGGTTGTGCCAGAAGACCTGTGGTGCAGGCCAGTATTGTACTGGGAGCACTGGGCCTGCACTGGGATGGTGCTGGGTGTGCCCACACTGCTGGTTTCTGCCACATTTCACCAGTTTACTTTGGTAGTTTCCCCATTCTGATTGTTTTTCTCACCACTTCTTGCCCAGTTGTGCCCCAATTTTGCCCTCTTCCCTTGTTCTTTCATACTTCTTCCCCCCAGTTTTTTCAGTAATTTCTTCCACTGGTGCTCCCGGTAGAGCCCAAATCTCCTTTCCAGTATGGACCAGTGCCTCCCAGTACAGCCTCATGCCCTCTCCTGAGTGTGATCCAGGACTCCAGGATGATGTTACCATGGCACAGAGCCCAATGCCAGTATATCCCATCAGCTCCCAGTGCCTTTCCACACCACCCCAGTCTTCCCAGTGGCACCACAGCTGCACCGGGGGCCTGGGATGGGGCAGGGCCTCCTTGTGGTGCAGCCAGTGGAAACATGATGGATGTCACACCTCCTGCAGCTGAGCTGGCTGTGGCATGTCCCGGGGTGTCCCTGGGTATGGTGACCCCAAGCACAGCATTTCCCCACTGCCGCACCTCCCAGGTGAGGCCCCCTGACCAGTGGAGCCCCACACCTTTCCCCATGGCCTCCCACAGACTCATCCATCAGTCCCAGCTGTGCCCAATCCCCACCTTGTCCCCAGCCCAGAGCACCCAGTGCCACCTCCAGGAATTCCTGGGACACCTCCAGGGATGGGGATCCAACCCTCCCTGGGCACTTCCAATCCCTGCCCACCCTTTCCATGGGGAAATTCCTGCTGCTGTCCCCCCCTGAGCCTGCCCTGGCCCAGCCTGGGGCTGTTCCTGTTCCCTGAAGCAGATCCGAAATCCTCCCGGCTGTCCCCTCCTGTTACCAACAATCAGTAAAAATAAATCTCCCTAACAGCAGTGCAGCAGGAAGCAGCAGCCATTCATTCTTCATCCAGCTGGAGCCACGAGGAGCTGTCTCCTCTGAAATACTGTGCATGCTGACCAGAGGAAAGGCTCCTGCTCCCAGGCTGTGTTTTACATGCATGCTCACAGGTTTTCCCAGAACAAACACATAACTATGTCCCTGGGGTCATTAACACACGTTCCGTCTCACCAGCACTCTCTCCTGGCCCAGGGGTGTCTGTGGTGGTCCCTGATGTGACCCCACAGTTTTGTCTGACCACTCAGTGAACCTGTGTGCCCAGTTAAGAAAAAGGCTGACATAGCTGGTCTAACTTGTTAATTTGTGAGGCTTTGAATCAATGGAGTGTAGTTTCTTATTCCTTCCTTTGGTTAATGTTTATTGTACTTTTGATTGTGAACTTCCATAGTCTAACGATTTTGCTAAATGATCATTGTATTAACCCACCAGGTGCAATCAATTCTTCATCTGGCAGCATTGTCAGGGAGTTGTGCAGAGCCAGAAGCCTCCTTTTCTCCAGGCTGTGCCCCTTTCCCAGCTCCCTCAGAGATTCTCCAGCCCCTTCCCAGCCCTGTTCCCTTCCCTGGACTCTCCAGCCCCTCAGGGTCGTGTCTGAGCTGAGGGCCCAGAGCTGGACACAGCCTCGAGATGGAGCCTCAGCAGTGCCAGCACAGGGACGGACAGTCACTGCCCTGCCCTAGTTAGTGCTGTAAATTCCATACATTACAATTCCCCGTTGGTAGGTGCACAGAGCTGGGATGGTTGCATCATTTGTGAGAGCACCGAGGCACAGAAACAGCAGCTCTGAGGAGTGCCTGCGGATCCCATGTGGGTCTCACATGGATCTGGGGTTGTGCTGGACCTGGGGACACCTTTGTGTTGTTTTACATCCTTTCCCCAAGGTCAGTGTTTAACACTCACACCACATCCACCACAGCCAGACCCTCAGAGCCCTGAGCCTGCTGTCCCCAGCATTGCCCCCAGAACCAGGACCTGGCATGGACATCCCGGGACCAGAGCAGAAGGAAAATGGCTCCTCTGAGGCAGGAGGGGGAAAAGCATCTTCCTCCCTGCAGCCACCACGTCAGCTGAGCTCAGGACTGCTCTGGATTTCATTTCCCACAGGGATCCAGAGCCACATGTCGATGGCTAATTTCCCTGGATGCAGCAGGCACCTGAGGCTCCAGGCAGGGAGTGTCCAAGGGACTCGGTTACGCCCCCAAATTAACACCCTGTTCTCAAACCTGAGCCGCTGCCGCAGGGATGAGCCCCTGCCCCGTGAGCCAAGGACAGATCCCAGGAGTTCCTGGGCCAGGCAGAGCTGGCACAGCCTGGCTGGGAGGCACCGAGCTGTGCTGCCCTGGCACTGCTCTGTGTTGTGACACCCCGTGTGACCTGCAGCACCTGGGAAACACATCCCACCTGCACCCAGCGCTCCTCTGCTCTGCCTCTCCTCCCTGCCAGGAGTGGCAAGCTCAAGGCAGCAGCCAGGGAAATAATCCCAGCAAAATCCATCTTACCGAGTGATTACTAAATATAAAGTGTGACCAACGCCCAGAGACACAGCTGCTCTCCCGTTTATTTCAAATCAAACTTTGTGAGCTGGGTGCAGGGAAGACTGGACGTGTCACACGGACAGGTGGGTGAGATGGGCAGCAACAGCACATGGCAGCACGTGCAGGACGGACAGGGGCTTTGTTCACGCAGCACAGGGAACATCTGTCACCAGTCACTGCCTGACCACACCACGGAGCGCTGCACGGCCAGGATTCTCCTGCAGGGACCAGGGGCTCTGCCCATGCTGCTAGCCCGGCGGTCACTCCCGGCTGGACACGCTGAGGTGAGGCGTCTGGAACCATTTGGCGCTGGCTGGCTGCTTCTGATACCACCTTTATTAGCGCCTGGGGGAGAGCAGCTGCAGTTCATTGCGCGGGTTCGTGCGCTGGGCCCGGAGGGGTCATATACTGTCCAGCTTCTTCAGGACGAAGGGAGCTGAGAGAGAAAACAACGCGGAGTCGAACCCGCTCAGCGGCCAGACTGCTGCGGGTTTGTGCAGCATCTCAGACACCCCGACCCCGGCCGAGATACCGCCCCCGCCGTGCTCGCGCCCCTGCGGTTCCGGCACGGCACCGAGACGCGGCACATCCCAGGAGCTCGGGCCTGGCACATGCCGGTCACTCACTGATCCGCAGCAGCGCGACGTAGATGAGGAAGTTGCGAACGGAGGCGAGGACGTCGCGGCGCATCTTCCGCCGGAGCTCCTCCGGGTCCATCTTGGGCCCCAGTCCCTCGATACGGAACATCCCGGACCGGAGCTCGATCCCAGTCACGGCCCAGATCCCGACCCGGCTCCGGCGCCGCTGGCAGCCACGCGCGGCGGAACCACGTGACCGGATGTAATGCGAGTCACGTGACCGCGACTGGCGCATGCGCGGGGAACGTCGGGGCAGCGCCGCTTCCGGCCGGGCGTGAGGGGTGCGGAACCGGGGCTGGGACAGGGGAAAGGGACCGGGACAGCGGCACGGACAGGGAAAGGGACAGCTCCATCCTCAGCGTGTCGCGAGCCCTCCGCGAGCACGGGCAGCGCTGCACGGCTGAAGGGTGTCAAGGGTGTCCCAGCTCACCCAGGAACCCCCTCTGGCGTTTGAGCTTTGGGTATGCTAGCCCTCACCAAAGGAGATTTCACCCCTCAAACCGAGCGACCAGCGAGCTCTCAGTGTGTCCGGGCCTTGGGAACACAAATCCCTGCTCGGGGGAACTGCCTTGGTAAGGGCCAGGGCTGGCCGGGCCGCAGTGGTCTGGGGCCTGGGGGAGGTGAGCAGCGCCCAGCCACAGAGATTTCCCTGGCACTGGACACGGACAGGGCAGGGCAGGACTGAGGGGCCACAAGGACTTTGGGCAGAACTCCCACCTTAAGGGAGAGACTTCTCAAGTCAGCTCAGCAACCGTGCTGGGGTGGGCTCAGCTGGGAACAGCGATTCCAGCAGGGCAGGGCCTGGCAGTGAGCCCAGGAACCCCCAGCCACAGCAGAGACCGACTGAGCGGGCAGTGATTGGGGTGAGAGCAGCGAGGGAATCGTTACCCAACAGCAGGGAGAACACTAATTAATGACTGAACTGGGTAACCGTAGCAAACAAGGCCCCTCAATCCCAAGGCCTGAGAGCTCGCTGGCTGCTCGGTTTCAGGGGTTAAATCTCTTTTCCTGAAACCCAAAGTACCCAAAGCTCAAACGGCAAACAACACCCTTCCCTAGGGGAGCAGTGACACATTCCAGCTGTGCAGTTCTGCATGCTGGCAACACTCAACACAAGGAATGCTGTCCGAGGTGGACACAGGCTCTAGAGATACCTGAGAGGGGCAGGTGAGCAGGCAGAGCCATGTGGCTCCACTCAGCATCCCCACAAGATGCAGCCAGCCGTGTAGAAAAAGGGATTTCTCTCACCTAAGCTGCCTGTGACCCGAGGCAAAGCAATTACAGAGCAGTTGCTCCCACTGTGCCAGTGATTACAGGGCTAATTGAGCTTTCCTGGCTGCAGGCCTGTGCCAGGTGGCCAAGGAGCAGCGTTCCCAAAAGCACACCACCAGTCACAGGACGTTCAATCCCAGTTTGCCAGCCTGTCCCAGCACAGGAGATGTAGCACTGCCCTCCCAAGAGCTTTCCAGCAGAGTCCCAAGGGAAAACACAACACAGCTGCCCAGATCCCCCGCTGACACACGCTCGTGGCTGTGCCAGCTCCAGGAAACCTCATTATTTACTCAGTCAGGTGGCTCTCTCCAGTCTTTGCCAGCAGGAACAGACTGGCAGGGTCCGAGCCCACTTTGGCAGAAGACCAGGGAGTCTCATCGTGCATTTTGTGCCTGCTGTTCCTCCCAGTCTGGCTTTCTGTTGGAAAAGTGGGAGAGGGGCTGTTTTCCCTAGCGTTGCTTGGGAGGAGAAGAAGGAATGTGATCAAATCTGGGCAAAGCCGAGTGAAACACGATGCAGAATTGAGCCGAGGCTGCAGCAAGGAGGGGACACAGCTGCTGCTGAGGACCAGTACAGGTGGGGCTCTGCCAGGAGGGGGACTGGGGAGTTCTTGCCACAAATTGTTCCACTGGAACCACCCCATTCTGCTCGTCCCTTTGTGAGATGGAGGCATGAGGAACATTTCCCGTGGGAGATGTTCCCACTGGATAGAGACTGGACAGAGACTTCAGGTGTGAGGTGACTGGCGAGGGAGACAAAGCCTTGGCTTTGGGTTTTGACAGTGTCCTGAGCTGTCCTTAAGATATTTTATGGCAACTTTCCAGAATTCCCTCAAACCTCCGGGCTCCAAAGCTTGGACAGTGCATACCCTGTCTTCAGTCCCATAATTAGAGGAGAATATTACTTTCCATTCCCTGGAGCTGCAGGAAGATTGTGACCTGCTGACCGGGCACTGCCTTGAGGTCTCTGATCAGAGCATGGCACGACCTGTGTGTGGTAGGCAGCAGCATGAGAGGCTGCAAAAGGTGCAGGCATTGCCACAGGGACAGCTGGAGACAATCCCGCGATGGAACAGTGCTGTGAGGAGAGGCCAGACTCCACAGGCAGCTGGGGAAAAGCTCTGCAGGCTTCCAGGAGCAAGGCCAGAGCTTCTCAGCACATAATGCCCAGATAATACCAAGATAAACCTGTCAGAAATACCGAATTAGACACAGACCTTAAAAAAACCCCCACATTATAGCAATGGGGAAAAAATAGTTATAGGCTGGCTGCTCCTCTGGGAGGAGACTGAGCAGGCAACGGAAGTACAAGGATTGGAAGAGGGGTCAAGGAATGTGAAAAGGCATAGCAGAGATCTGCAGATGTGTGCCAGTGCTGTGATCACAGCCAAGCAGCCCTGTGTGCATTTAACTGCAGCTGATTTGGCCATGGTGGTACCGAAATCAGTTCATCAAATCCCTAACAACAATGGAGCAAAAAGAACCTGCCATTCTTTATTTGGTTAGATGTGTGAGGGGACATCACTGAAATACCATGCCTGTTGAGCACAGGAAAAGCTCCTGTTTAGTTTCTATATTTTACTGACATAGCCATTTATTTTCCTGGAATAAGCATATATAGGATAGTCATTTCCCCAAAATCATTAACTTATGTTCCCTTCCCTGTGCTTGTGGATTGTTCTGTCCCAGGGGTCTCCTGGTGGTCACAGACCTCAGAGTTACAGCTGAGCACTTGAGGAGCTGGTGTTACTTTCCAAATTTGGAGCTGAGCTGGCTAAACTGAGGTGGTGACTCTCCGGTTCCTCTTGGTTAATGTTTGACATGATCCCACAGAATGAGCATTGTGCAGTTCCATAGGACGGTGGGTTTGGAAGAATAACTATTGTGTGAGCCCACTAGGTGTGCAAACAGCCCTTCATGGGGCACCAGCAGGATGCACATCACACCTGCTGTCCCTGGGGACAGGAGGGGAGCACGGAGAGGCAGCAGCACTGCTGTCCCTGGCAGCCCTGAGGGCACCCAGGGGAATGGGCCAGTGGGGCACTGTGGGTGCGTCTGCAGTGTGGCAGGACTTTGGCAGCTCCCTGTCACTTCCTGACATGGTTTAGGGACAGGTTCACCTTTTTCTAGCTGAGAGAAGATGGACAAGGTGACACAGAATATGAGTTTCCATTGGTCTGCAGACCAACCTCGCAAGTTCACTCCACGTGCCAGTCCAGGACCACGTGAATTAAGGAGTGTTTCAGGTAGAGGACAGGCACAGTCTGGCTTTCTCCTCACCCCGAGGGCAAAGCCAGCAGCCAGCTTTGGTTCTGCCTTCTTCCTGCCATTGCTGTGGGTAATCTTTCTGGAAAACTGTGGGATCTGGGTGGAAACAAGCTCCACTAGCAAAGGAATGGAGCCTGCAGGTGATGGAGTGGCAGGGATACAGAGCAGAGAGGATGGCTGGGCAGAGCGGCCTGGGAATCTGGCAGAACCCAGACACTGCAGCTGAAACTCGGGCTTCTCTCCCCATTGGATTCCCCTGCTCCCATCAAGTCCTGGAACTATGCTAAGACACAGCTGGTGCAGACAGCAGGGAAGAAATAGCCCACAGAAATTAAAACTGCCCTGATAATTGTTTTTGAGACCTCAGAAATGTTTCTAGGAGCAAGGAACTCACCACAGTGGACTGATTGTCCTTGATAAAAGCATTCTGTGGAGTGGTCCTTCAGGCGCTGTCCAGTGGTGTTTCTGCAGCTGCTCCTGCATCGTGGAGGTGGCTCATCAGACAGCTGGAAGGACAGCATGCCATCCTCCTGGAAAAGGCAGTGTTCACCTGGCCTGGCCCCTTGGCATCCACTGGTGAGACGTGGAGGAGCACCAGGGACCTGCACTCCAGGACTGGACCAGGATGTTTGTCAGAGATGCAGAATGAAGGCTTTGCAGAGGGCCTGGGCAGCCTGGCAGAAGCACCACGGAGAGGCAGAGCAGGTGATGCTGGAGCCTTGGTGCTGCTGCCACAGCCAAGGAATCGATATTGGTACAGCACTAATGGCAGCAGCTGGCTTTGTGCCCGCAGAGAGGCTTCCTCCGTGTCTGCCCGGCGAGGTGCAGCTCGTCCTCCTGCCATCTCCAGGGGCTCCAGGCCCGTTACACCAGAGCATGGGCAGCTCCTGCCAGCCCATAGGTGCCTCCCAGGATGGTGTGGGGGCACAGGACAGTCCCCGGTGCTGGCAGAGGAGGAGCAGCAGCAGGACAGGGCTCGCTGATGGCACTGCTCCGGCTCTTCTCGCAGCCCCTCCACACGTCCGGGCACTGGGGCTGGGCAGCACCGGTGTGTGCCACGGGAAACCACTGGGAGAGAGTTTCCTTTACCCTCAGAGGCATCCCCAGACAGCCTCTACCGCCCTGTCCCAGCGATGAACTCCATGTTCATCGACCCCTTGGCTCGAGCCCACCCCGACCCCTCTGCCTGCACCGGGTCCAGGCAGCAGAGCGAGTCTGCTCCCCCTGGATCGCTCCTCCAGGATCACACCTCCTGCCAGGAGCTCTCCTGCTCCTCCTGTCCTGCCGAGTGCCCCACTCAGGCTCTGTACATGGCTCTGTCCCTGTGGCAGCTGCTCCCCGTGGCTGGACGAGGCCGGCACAGCACCCCAAGGTAGCGTGGAGGGGCTGTAGCAGTGGTCCTGCCTCCTCCACTGCCCCTGCCAGGCTGCTGGACTGCCCAGGATGGGGGATCCAGCCCAGGAGGGACAAGCAGCCAGGCTGAGCAGGGATGGCCAGAGAGCCCCGGCTCACAGGGGTCCTGCACACAGGGGCTGACACTGGCTGGGTGCTGCGTGTCCCCAAAGCCACTCTGTCACTCCCCTCCTTGGATGGGCAGGAGAGAAGAAATACAACCACAGGC